TTTTCGGGTAGAAAAAAAAAAAAAAAAAAAGTTTGAAAAAAGTGGTGCAAAGCACATCAAGTGATGTTTACTGGGACAAATGTGGAGACAGCCCTTGGCTGCCTGCTCCCCTGTCTCCACACACTGTGGAGCCCCCATGCTGCAGCATCCTGCACTCCAATCACCTGCTAAGCAGCTGGCTGGGGTGCAGTGTGCTTTGAGATTGGGGAGCAGGCAGCCCTGGGGTACCTGCTAGCCCCATACTGAGGTACCCCACACTGCCTGCCCTAGCCAGTCCTCCCTGCAGCACATGGAGCAGTGGGACAATGTGTCCTGCTGCAAAGCACATGAGCAGGGGTGTGGACTACAGCAGAGAGCAGTGGCACAAATTTGTGCTGCTACTATTTGTGCTGCTGCAGTTGCGCATCTGTGCTCACATGGACACGGCCTGAGAGTTTACTTTCATTTGAATGACTTGGAGAAACTGTACCTGAGCAAACAAAGCAATGGATACTTACACTGATTGAAAATCCTTGAAGGGCAGACAAAGATTTGATATCCAATTCTGCAAAGTCTGCCTAGGGTTCTCCCTTCATCTACTTCTCTCACTCCAGTTTTGCTGATCCTGGCTCTCCTTTCTTCTTAGTTATCACTTCTATCCTCTCCCCATATTTCTGTCCTTGGCTTACCTTCCTAAAACTGTGTTCTGCCCTCACCTTTCTCTTTATAGTTATTCCTGTTCTTTCTCTGGCAGTTAACCTCATTTTGTGAAGATTTGTCCACTGTAAAACATACTGTGATAGCTTTTCTCCAGAGTTGTAAAAAATATTATCAAGAAGTGTTAGCATACTTTAAAATAAGTATGAGCTAGATAGGTTTCATTAGATGCTTTCAATCACATTTTCATCTGCCAGCATGGTACTATATATCTCTGCAACTTAGCACTTTTTCACTTAATAGTTCTGTAGCGATAAAGAGCTTTTTATCTAAGATTGTATCCTGATTTTTAAGGAATTGTGTCAGCTGCTGTAACATTTCAATCTCTTATGGACAGATTCTATTACCCTTACTCTCAACCAGTAATACTTTACCTTAAAAGTAGTCCAGTGAACTTGAGAAGAACTGCTCAGGAAGTAAAGTACCACTCAGTCTGAATAAAGTCTAGCCTGTATTTCGTTGTTATTGTAAAAAAATGCAAAGCTTTGTGTGTCCCTCTAAAGAAACTAAGTATTATGTAGAAAAACAAATGAATCGCAGTAATTTTTCAACTACACACCTACATTGCGGATCATACAAAAGCAACCAGGAAAGTTCCTTCAAAGATCTTGAACTGGTATTCCTGTATATATTTTATATTCTATCCTTCCAAAGTCTACCAGGTAACTGCAGTCACTTCAGCTGAAAATGGATATTTTGAGTGTTGTGGAACTTACTAAGGGTCATCTCAAACTGTTTAAGCTCAAATGCTTCTGTAATGATGATATAGTGTATACAGGAAAAGTCACTGTATTCAGTTGCTCTCAGACTTGCATTTTCATCTGTGTGGGTGAGGTGGTTCAGTCTTTAAGAAAAGAAAGGAAAATAGCAGCTAGAAAAAATGGCTGACTCAGTACCTACTACAGGGAATTACAAAAAGAAAATTATGAATCTCTATTTGGTTGCCAATATATTAATTTCAAAGATCTTAGTATCTTTAAATAGAGAGATTCATGCAGTTGAAAACTTACTCATTAAAGAGTGGTGATAAGTTAGCAATAGAGACTGTTCCTTGAATGCAAATATACTTTGTCTCTCTCTCACATAAACACACACATTTTGACTCCCAGCTGCCCATTTTCCTAGAATGTATTTAATTGTACTGCAGAGAGTCTCCATTTATATTAGGAAGCTGGTATTTCTGTAACCCTTGGCCTCCACTATGTGGGTGTAACTTTTACATGTAGAGGTAGCCTGTTTACAGGTCATTGAAGCACACTGGATGCAGGGCTCCACTGTTTCTTTAACCTTGGCATGAGAAGGAGGTGATGTGATCAAAACCATACTCCAGCTGTCTTTATCCCCAGGTGGCTCCTGGTACTCATTGGATAGGAGGCTGGGTAGGTCTCAGGGCCAGGGTAGAAGTGGAAACAATACACGAAAGCCCACCACCCTCATTTAGGATTGACCTGGAATAACATGGTTGTTCCAATCTGTAGCGAGTCACCCTACCAACTGAGCTACACAGCTCCCCAACTTTACATGTAGCCTACACAATTCTTTAAAAAGCTGTGCTTTTTGCTTTTGTATGACATTAAATTAGATGAGAACCAAGACATTCCATTTTAATAAGAACATTTTGACTTGTTTCTCTTTCATTTAGGTTTTTTTTCCCATCATACAAGCTAATGTTATCCTATCGTTGATACACTGATAACCAGAGTGGTGACATTGAAAAGCAATTCATGTGCTTGAGCTTGCGCCTCATTCCGGGCTTGCATCAGAGATCACTCCCAAAAAGCCCAGCTATAAATAAGTACCTGGGTTTACATGCCAGTGGCCCTAACCACACTTGCCTGATCGGTCAGTGGATGTGCAGAGAAACCTCTGACATCAATGATCACATTACAGAGGGGAAAGCTAACACTGAGCAGCAGTGTTTGAAAATATACTAAGCCAAATTTTCTTTTGATTACTGTAAAACTAAAGTACATGTCCCTTTGTATTTTTGGTATGTCCATGATTTCTGTTGTAAGAAATTAGTTGATGTTTTTGCTTTCTGCAGATGCCAGTGTATTATTACCCATCTGGTCAATACGCTACCTCAGCAACTCAGCAGTACAGACCCATTGCCTCAGTTCAGTACAATGCACAGCGGAGTCAACAAATACCACAGACTGCACAGCAAGCAGGTATTTGCATCTGTTATTCTTTTCTTTGGTAGTTCATATTGCATTTACTGATGAATCTGCTGATGATATTTTTTGGGGCTTCAAAATGCTAGAATTGGAAATTTGCCTTTTTAAGTAAGTTGCAACAGTTTGTGCTAGGAAGTCAAAGACGGAAAGGCGAGCGCATTATAGCAATGTCATCTTGTAACCAGCATATGCCATGTGTTCACAGCATTAATACTTTAAACAGTGGACCTGAAGTAGGGCAAGTAGTATGGTCTTCCATATTTCATTTTAAAGCCAAATGTTACAAATAATTTCCTTCATCCTATGAGCTTTCTAAACATTTTTAAAACAAGAAACCAGCAGTGGAAGTGTTCACAGAGTATTGTGCTCTACATAGTTGAAAGTATATCAGTTATATGAAACCAACTAGTGGAATTGCAGTTCCTTGCTAATACTCCACTATTTCCAGTCTTTCTTTTGAGCTGGGTTTCAAGAACAATGCAGGCAAAGAGGTGACCTATGGTACCCACTTGGATTAGCTTCTTGTAATGTGCAGTTGGAAGGGGGGCCGTTACACTGTAAGAGAGTGAGTAGCAGGTCTCACAGTGAACCGGTCTCTTTTCCTACTGTGTCGTGTCACCCCTAATTAAACCAGATTAAGTGGGAGACAGGCAGAGTGGGACTGATGTGTGTTGATTTATTTGTGCTGGTGAGAGGTTCATTGCATTCCTAATGAATAAATGGAGCTTCTGAAAAATCACTGATTGTCTGTTTCTCTGGTACAAACCTCCCCTGTGCCCTGTCTCAAACAAGTATTAACTATGGTAGGAGGGATTGTTTCCCTACAGGATATACAATTATAAATGTGCCAAGTAGGATGAAGCATTCTGTTTCTCTATATATTATTTATCTGGCTCCAGAATTATACATGGTTTGGTGGAATTTCCCACGAATTTTGCGGCTTCTGGAAATATAGGTTCTCTGCTAAGTTTTTTTAAGATGAATAACTAGCACAGATCTGAGAGATGGAGAAGACCTACGGGGTCATTTAACCCATATCCCAATCTCTAAAATACCACTACTGATATATTTGTTACACTTTGTGAGGTGTTCAGAGAAACAAAGTCACTGAAGTTACTGCAAATGTTATTATAATTCATTTGAATGATCAATAACTTGTTTTAATGCCATCCTATATTCTAATAAAATTGGCATTGGTTTTTAGTCAGTATGGATGGTGGGTGACTATGCCTGATTTCTTCACTATGGATGAACACATGACCGAGAGGGAGATGTAATACTTCACAAAGGCCATCTATCTTGTCTAATTTCTCTGGTCTTACAGTCTGGTACCATATACATTATTCACACACAGTAGATCTTCAAATCAAAGTGCAAATTGAATTGCATGGAATTATCTGGGTCTGCTGGGTTGTTATGAAACCATATTTACTGTATCAGTTAAATGGCCCATCAGTAATGTAAAAGTTATGGTAAATAAAGTACACAAGGACTGTTTTGAAATTCCTCAGCAATTTTTTTCAGAACAAATTCAACTATCTGATCCTATAGATCTGATTTCCAAATGTAAAGATATACTGTAGCATAACAGGAATTATGTTTGGGTACACATTTCAAAGGGGGGAAAAGGTCATATTTTCCCATATATTTTTCTCATTGCTTTCTTTTCCTGTATCCATAGATGAAGGAGTTCGAAAGAATTCTCAGTTGAATCTAAAATTTCTTCCTTCAGTTGACCATCACTTTGAAATATTATTGTTACTTTTTGTTCTAATACTGTGACAGTGGCTCAGTATTTCTGTATTGGTTGCATAAAACATTTACCTACAACTCAGCTCCTAAGTCTTGCCTTCAGATTTGGCTCTTTTAGATGGATCCTAACAATAGGCTTGATTGCACTGTTGCAAATTGATACTTGGGAACCCAAAGTCCCATACAAACTCATGCCATCCTCGCTGTTTCCTTGGTATTTCTCCTTTTCTTCTACCTACAGTCCCTTGGGCAGTCCAAACCTATGATCACTGATGTCAGAGGGGATTGCAGTAGCAGGGAGGCTGTTGTGTGGCATTATGCCCATCCCCTGTCCTGGAACTCCAGCATGATCCATCTGAGCAGAATCCTCTCTGCTTGGGGAAGCAGGGAGTATAATAAAAACCTATATTTTTTCTTTTGATTTCTATAACTGAGCCAGTTCATTTCCCCTGATGTCCATGCCATATGATGGTAAATCTCAGCATTACCTGTGTCATATAACCTGAATCAGTATGGCTCTGTATCTTGCTATCAACTTACATTTTGAAATATCTTAAAATACCTCAAAGGAAGTAAGGTGGTGACAGAAGCTTTTCTTGGGGATTTTCTTTGCCACTAACTATATATATGTTTCTCGTATTTTCCCTTATGCTCAGAGTCAGCAAATAAATGAGTACAGATTAGATTGATTATTCAGATTTTTCATGTCCTTTCACCTCCCATGGCATTTAAAAGTCACTAATTCTTCAGAATTTGTTTGATGGATATAAATGATGCTGGGTGGAATCTAGCAAAATAAATTCACTCATGTTACAGCTGCCCACCAGACACTCAACTATTTCAAGAACGTACACACAAGTCTTTAATCCAAAACCTTTCTGGGTTGGTTACCTAGAAGTGCCAATCTAAAAGCAGGCTTCCTGCAGCAGAGTGGGAGATTTACTGTTTTAATGCACAAGTAAGGAGCTGGAGAATAGCATGTGAGCAGACTGTGAAAGAGCTGTTGAGAACCAGGACAATTTGAATTAAAGACACGCAGAAAAGTAGTGGCAGCAGTAACGAGTGCAAGCTCAGGTTGTAGAAGAGTGGGCAATGGAAGCAGACATGAATGAAAAGGTAGTTGAAAAGATGATTTCTGAAATTGCTTCCCAGAAGAGTTATAATACCTGCAGCTGCTGCTGCTGCTGAGAGAATTGCTGCAGTATAGATAGGCACATGGGAGCCCAGGCCGTGGGGCTACCAGCAGAAGAACTAATACAGCAGATTGAACAGGGAGACACTGTAAATCTTGAGAGCTCAAAGAATGTTTTATTAAAATAAGAAAGTTTACCAGTAAGACTTCAGAAGATTTCATAGCTCAGGCAAACTATTGAGGATCTATAGTTTTCCCACATTGCGTTGCAGAGGTCAGAATTTGATCTAATGCCAACAATTTGTTTTCATTTTTCTTAGAAAAGGTCTCTTTATGAGTGGAGCAATATTGATGACTTTTACAGCAAACAGCTAAAGTAAGATGTCAGTACAGCATCCTTAATGGCTAAGGGAGTCTGTATTCTCTCATGGTTCTGGAAAGAGAGTAATATGAAGTTTAAATGGCTCCAGGGCAGAAAAAAAGATGAGCTCACCTAAAATTAGATTAGGATCTGACAGCAATAAATCATTTGGTGAGAGGGATGAGAGCTTTTGATTTTTTTTTTTAATTTTTTTTAAGAGTGCTATCTTGTCTGTGAGAATAAGTGACCCATTTCTAGGAGGAGTCTGTTTCACAGAAGATTTTACAGAGCAGCAGGGTAGCCCTGCTTCTGAAATACTTTGTTGCATTTCATTTAAATAACTAATTGGCTGCTCTTCTTCATTACATTCCTCCTATGTCAGTGTTTAGGCCCAATCCTGCAAGGTGCAAAGACATTTGAAGTCATTGAAAGTCTTGTCATTAACTTAATGGGAGCAGGGACACATCTGTAGCTGGTTCATTGTAGCATGCAGAATACATTTCAAATGGGTCATTAGGATTTACTTAATTTATTTTTTTCAGGGCCAATATGTCTGTTTAATTTTTTGTGCACGATGGAAAGAACATCTTTGAGCTTTTTAATGGAGCAATTTGGGGGGCGGGTGTTAAATTAAAAATTGGCATAAAAAACATAAACAGGTCTGGGTTCAAGTGAATGGTATATTATATGCCATGATAAAACATTTCTGAAATTTTTTGAATATATTAAAGAACTTTTCAGATATATCTTAGTATTCCTTGAGGAGTGAACTACATTTTAGTTTCATTCTGGCCAGTGATCATTGACCACTTTTTAATTTTCTCTCATTCCACCATAATATCAATAAAAAAATAGGTTGAACACTTGAGCAAATAAATATTTCTGTTGTTACTCCATAGAAGGCCTCACTTCTTGACTGAGTTAAATGAAGAAATATTTTTGCATTCCCATCAGACAGGACTCCATAAATTGTATCGCTGCCACCATCAGCAAGTATTTTATTATTTAATATTGGTCTCTATGTTAGTAGTTTGGAAACATTTCAGCTTAGTTCTTGTCCTTGAATGGAAAAGTAGACCTACATTCGGTAATGACTTGCACTTTACCACAACTGATGAAATCAGGAATAGGGTATTTTATTTTTTTTATCTGTGTATTTATGTTGTTGCTGTTGGTGATGATGGTAATAATGCCTAGCATTTTGAAAATATTTTTCATCTTTAAAGTGATTTACAAATATGAACCAGTTAAGCCGCCCAACCATTACTTCGAAGTAGGTAAGTATTATTTATTACATGCATTCATAGATGAAGATACTGAGATGGACAAGTTGCATGATTTTCTCTGGTTTGGTGAATGTGCCCTATGCTCATATCATAAACATCCCAAGCATTTTTCAAGTATGACAGAGCTTTACTGCAGGACTTACTTTTATTTTCCTTTTTTTCCGGTGTATAGATTTACCTGATAAATAGTTTGGTTCATTATACATCTTTCTCAGACACTTTGCTATAAACAGTAACTAAACCATACAGTGTATGTCTTAGATCCATAATAAAGACAGTCTACGGAGCAAATTAGAGCTTGAGGAGTACCCTACTGGCAAACCTTTGTAGAAACATAACATGTCCACAGAGATTAACACAGGCATTGTACAATTGGATTTTTGTTCTCTAATTCTACCTTACTAATGGTTTTAAGATTTCTTATGTAGCTGAGAACTAAGAAATGTTTCCATTATGATTCATT